ACACAACTAGACACCCCCTCACAGACACACACTGGAGAGAGAGACACAGCAACACACCTAGACACCCCCTGACAGACACCCACTGGAGAGAGAGAGACACAGCAACACACCTAGACACCCCCTGACAGACACAAAGAAACAGACATATTCACAAACACATCTCTGCCCAACACATCATCGGCAGTGCCTTACCATCCATCCAGGAAATCTACAACACCAGGAGTCTGACAAAAGCCACCAGAATTATGTCTGACCCCACTCACCCCAGTCATAACTTGTTTGTCCCCCTACCATCTGGGAGAAGGTTCCGGACACTCCAGTCGCACACGACTAGACTCCAGAACAGCTTCTTCCCCAGAGCCGTCAAGCTGGTGACGCCCCCACTCCCTCCCATCATGCTGTGATCTCTCCTCACTGCTTCCTGTCCCCACAACGACTGTACTCCAACACTACTACACACACGACACCTGAATGCAAGCCGAAACTGAACTTAAAACTGGACTACTTGTACTCTTTATTAATCACTGTACTCTTTTTGCACTGTTCGCCGAATTACTTTTGCACTGTTTTTGTCCTGTTTGTGTACTTTTCTCTGCTGGCGTGTTTGCACAGTTTCTTCAGCGCTGCAGAGCGATCAAGAGTGATGGTTACCTAGGACGATGACCTCAACTTCACCAAGAAGCTTCATCAGGCCATCTGTCCCTCTGTAATAACACTCGTACAGGCCAGTGTCGGAGAAGGAGGCCTGGAGGAGGCTCAGGGAGAAGTCCCCCTGTCTGATCTTCTCCCGGGACACCTGGGCTCTGGGCTCGAACCCGGGGCCGGGAAAGGCTCGTCCGCTGTGGAAATCCAGCACAGGCCTCGTGGGGGTTTTCCACTGGACGTGTAACTGGTCCTCGGGGATCCCAGCGGCTGGTGTCCCATCACAGGGCAGAGTGACCGAGTCCCCGACTGTCAGGAACACTGGGACTGGACCTGCTGAGGCTGAGAGAGACAGCAGCACAGTTACACAACTGCACACACCCTCCGACACACAGCTACACAACTGCACAACTGCACACACCCTCAGACACACAGCTACACAACTACACAACTGCACACACCCTCAGACACACAACTACACAACTACATACTGTACACACCCTCCGACACACAGCTACACAACTACATACTGTACACCCTCAGACACACAGCTACACACACCCTCAGACACACAGCTACACA